ATAAGACGGAGTATACGGTTCTATATAGATTCGAGCTTTATTTACCTAGTCTATATAAGGGCCATATACTAGCACTCGTGTCCGTACGTAAAGGCGGGTCATGCTATAGATATATATAGCTAGCGTACCTTATCCCGGGCGGTTCCCTACGTAGAGGCTATAATCTATTATATAGCGGCTTCTATCTAGAAGGCCCTAGAGACGGCGTATACCACTTATAGTCCCTATTTAAGCTTACTATCTAGTATAACTCTAAGCGCGCGCATGCTTTATACTAGTAGTTCGTTAAATACGTCGATTCGGGGGCGTCGTTCGCCTTCCCTAGTTACCTATTTCCCTTAATAATTAATAAAGTGTATAAGCTAGTATTTCTCTAGGGCGAACTTTACTCTATAGCGTTTTACCCACTAGAGGCACCTCTCGTGGTTCTATTCTAGTCGTCTATACGTTCGGTTAGTATTATTATTAATAGCTAGGAGGTATATGTTATCGGCGTATCCGACTACCTCTATATACTTTATTCCTTAAAGAAGGTCTACCGTAAAGAAGAGGAATAGAATCGGAGAGATGGTGCTCCCTTATAGGATGCCGTATACCGTCTCTTTATATTTACTCTAGTACCTAGGGATATATATCTAAGTTATTCTTCCTATAAGGAATGACTATATAAAGCGTATAATCCATTCTAGTATTCGTCTTATCTAGAGGTTATAAATAAGTCTTATATGGTTTACCTTATTAAACGCTCCGGCCATATCGAGGGAGAGGAGCGATACTACCCGTCCCTATTTCCATGCGGCCTAGACGACTTTAATAATGTGTTAGATAGCTATTATTAGGGAGCTATCTACCTTTACCTTCTAGTTTAGAGGGAGGAGATTATATTTCTATGCCGCGGTACTTATCTTCTTTACTATCATGGCCTCTAGTATCTTACCTAGGTAGAAGAGAAGGGCGATTGGTCTCCATCCCTTTAGGGAGTTAGGGCTCTTTCCTAGTTTCGGGAGCATGATAGTATAGGCGACTCGGAAGCTCTAGGGGTGGTACCCCTACGTAACGTATACTTAGCCTCTAGTTCGAAGTCGGATGACTCCTATAGGTTCGACGTGCTCTATACCATTAGGCCCTACTCCTGTTTTCGCCTTATCTTATCCCCTTTAGGCTTATACCTCCGGCTCTACTAGAAGAGGGGCACGACGCCTCCTCTAGCTAGGAAACTACGAGGTTTACTCCTTAAACCTATATTACTAGCGTACGTACCTAGCGACACGTTCTATCTCTTTATAAATCGATACGCGTATCCGTTCTCTCGGGCCATATAGTAGTCTCCCCGGCTAGGACGTAATCCCGCCTACTTCTAGATATACTAAAGGTTAGAGCCCATTAAAGGGGTAAGGTCCTTAGAGCTAGTAGTTACTACTATATACCACGCCCTACCTTTAAGCATAGCTACTATCCGGTTTCGTATTACCTATAGAGATCTCTCTACGATAGGCCGACCGTGTCTTATAGGCGAGTATCCTTTAAATTCTATACGTGTATACTTACGTGACGCGCCTAGGCGACTTAAGTATTCTCTATCTACTAACCCGATCTATTTCTACTACTTTTTAATAGGTCCCTATAGCCGCCTCTTGCCTATATCCGTGTACTATTATATATATATACTAGCGCCCTACCTCCTACGGTAGACTATAACATCTCTTATACGCGGGAGCTACTCTATCTATCCTAGACCTAAGCGGTATCCTATATCGAGCGAAAGGTCTTAATAGAGTCGCGCTACTAGTGGTCGCGCTAGGCGTCTTAATAAACGTAGTTTAATACTATAGGAGAGTTAGCCTTAATAAGTTCATCCGTAGTAGTTTATAGTTGCCCTCGACGTGATTTCTCGCTAATTCTTACGCACCTAGAGCTATTTAAGCCTCGAGGTGTTCTATCGCGCTACTAGGACTTCCGCTTTCTCTACCTATATAGTAAGGTAGATTCAGGCCTACTTTTAACATAGTAGTAGCACGTTAGATGGTTTTCTTATCCCGGTATCCTCGTGGACTTCTCTTAACGCGTTAATTAAGAACAGGATAGAAGTATATACTATCCTAGCTGGTTTATTATGGTGTGGTCCCTATAGAGTAACGCGTCGCGAAAACTCTATAACTACCTACCTAGCGACGACGAGGTCACCATTAACGCCGCTCTAAACCTCTTACTACCTCCGAAGAGGCATTGCCTAGCTACGACGACGTAGACGCGGTTCGTGAGACTTCGTAGCTAGACCTCTATATATAGAGATAATTACTTATCTATATAATAAGAACCTCTAATATTATATAGTAGCTTAATAAGTACTCTAAGAAGATTACCTAGTAGATACTTATATATCTCTCTCTCCCTTAATACTAATAGATCTAGATATATATACTAGAAGTAACTAGGTATATACTAGATAGACCCTAGCGTACGTTAGAAGAACCCTAGAAGAACTCTAATTATTAGTTAAGGGTAACCCTTAACTAATAACCCCTATACTCTATATATACTATCTAAGGGTAAAATAATAGTACTATAGATTATAGGCCTATAAATATTTCTAATAGCTATATACTTAAGATAATATAAAGGTTTAATAAGATATAGTTATAGAGAGAAGGGAGTTTTTCCTTTTATAAAGGTTTCTTCTTATATAATAGCTTAGACTAGAGAAGGTATATATCTATAGAGTAAACTACTCTACCTAGTTATATAATATTATTATTATTATTATAGTATTAAACTATATTTATTAAGATATCTAGTATAATTACTAATAGTATAACTCTATTAAGATCTTTTACTTAATATAGAATACTACTTAGATCTAGAATAGATAGAGTAGCTTCTATATATAAGAGATATTATAGTCTACTATAGAAGGTAGAGCGCTAGTATATATAAATAATAATATATAGATATAGATAAGAGATAGTTATAGGGATCTATTAAAAAATAGTAGAAATAAATTAGATTAGTAGATAGAGAATACTTAAGTTACCTAGGCGTATTATATAAGTATATATATATAGAATTTAAAGAATACTTATCTATAAGATATAGTTAGTCTATTATAGAGAGATTCTTATAGATAATATAAAACTAGATAGTAGCTATACTTAAAGGCGGGATATAGTATATAATAATAACTACTAGCTCTAAGGACCTTATCCCTTTAATAGATTCTAATCTTTAATATATCTAGAAGTAGATAGAATTATATTCTAGCTAGAGAGACTACTATATAGTCTAAGAGAATAAATATATATATTAATTTATAAAGAGATAGAATATATTACTAGATATATATACTAGTAATATAGATTTAAAGAGTAAATCTTATAGTTCTCTAGCTAGAGAAGGTATTATATCTCTCTTCTAGTAGAGCTAGAGATATAAGTCTAAAGAGAATAAGATAAGATAAAAATAGAAGTAGAGTCTAATAGTATAGGGCACGTTAAACCTATAGAAGTTATCTAACTTCGAACTAGAGACTCTATAGTATAACCCGCCTTTATATACGGATATAAGTACTAGTATATAGCTCTTATATAGACTAGGCGAATAAAGCTCGAATCTATATAGAACTATATACTCTATCTTATATTAGATATATATAAAGCTACTAATATAGTACTACTATAACACGAGATAGATATTATAAGTATATATAACTTCTACTAGATATAGAGAGTAGTATACTTTACTAAATAATAAGTATAGAAATATATAGAAAATATAGAATATACTTTTACTATACTATATATATAAATTAGTATATATTACTATATACTTCTATATATAGACTAGAATTAAATAGGGTATAAGTACTTAATAGAAGCTAACTCTAGCTAAGTAGTATAAGAAGTCTAAGATAATCTAGATACTCTTCTAGACTAGTAGAGCCCTTAAAAACTTATAAAAAATATATAGTTATAGACCTAAGATAAATAGAAAAAGATACTCTATATCTACTAGATCTTCTAGTAGAATAGATATCTAGAATAGATTTAAGAGCTATAGAAGAAACTAAGTAATTAGATATATAAAGAACTAATAAAAGCCTAAGTATCTATACTTATCTAAGTCTAAATAGATATTATAGAACTTCTATATTATCTCTATAAGTAAGATATTCCTAATATCTCTCTATAGTATAAGGTATATAGCTAGAGAGATATAATATACTACTATCTAGCTATATACTCTAACCTTTATATATAATAGTAATAGCTTATCTATATTATAAAGACTTTAGATATTATATAATAGCTTAATAAGTATTCTAAGAATATCTTCTAATAGATACTTATATATCTATTACTTCTCTAGTACTAGTAGATCTAGAAATATATACTAAAAGAGACCTAGTATATACTAGTAGTAATCTAATATATACTAGAAGAACCCTAGAAGAACTCTAATTATTAGTTAAGGATAGCTCTTAACTAATAACCTCTATATCTATATATACTATCTAAGGGTAAAATAATAGTAATATAGACTATAGACTAATAGATATACTCTATAGCTATATACTTAAGATAAAATAAAGATTTAATAAAATATAGTTATAGATATAAAGAAGTTTTTCTTTATAGAGTTTCTTCTTATATAGTAGCTTAGACTAGAGAAGATATAGATCTATAGAGTACTACTCTATCTAGTTATATAATAATATTATTATTATTATATATATATAAGAGGTTATTATACTTAGTATACTCTATTAATTAATATATATAGATTACTAAAGTAAATTCTACTAGTATTTTAATATTTATATATATATATAGACCTTTCTATAGCCGTAGATAGTTATCTCTTTAAGCTTTTTAATAAAATATACTTTATATACTATATATTATATTTCTTAGTCTTATTTATTTAAGATACCTTCTATACTACTACCTCTACTTAAGGTAATATTATTATATATATCTTTTAAAACCTTATGGTTTATATATATATATATATAACTTATGAAGTTTTAGTATATTCCGCTATCTATCCATACCCTTTTTGGCGTGGGACCATTCTATTTATCTATGTAGTCCTTAGATGAACGCCCCAAAGCCGGTCGACAAGCCATTCCTTACGATACTTAAGTGGGGAGATACTATCTGGTAAATGTAGATACCAGTCATTTTCGTCCCAAGGAGTCAATGTTCTTGTAAGAGCCGTGCATTCATAGTAATTAGGATAGAAACCACTATCTTCCCAGTCAATGATTGCAGTGACCAACACGTTATTAGTGCCATCAATGCCTGGCTTCATGTCTACCATAATGTTATCTGTCCGAACATCACCGTGAGTGAAGACCACCTCCCTGTCTAATGATGATTCTCTAGCATCCCAGAACGAGCGAAGAAACTTGGCGTAAGTTTTGCTTCCGTGGTTGGGCGCAGACCATTGCAGTTCACTATACTGAGCTGCAGTGGTAATGTCTGGGAAGAGGCCGCATCCGTTGACACGTAACTCCTTAGCACCTTCGCCACAGACGCCACCTAGATTTTGAGCTTTCGGCTTTGTAATAGTTCTCAGGCGCGCAAAGATGTTGTCCAGCTGTTGCTGTATGGATGACTTCTGTAGAAATGAAAGCCTTGGCCATGCGTGAGACAGCGTAGTGCCAGGGATCAAAGACATGAATATCACCCGACAGGGACCGAATGCTATCAAGCCATACGGTCGTGGGGCAGGAATTTCCGGCGCGTTCTGCGCCAGATATTGCAAAGTGCTGTATTCCGTGTAATCTTGGCCTCCGTCGATAATCTTAGCCACGGTGTCATCGTTACATTTAAGCACCACACCCCGAACAGAACACTCCCAAAGCTTGGGTGAATTCCAAATAAGACGTTTCAGGCCATCGACAAGGTCATCTTGTCGTATTTCTCCGGGTGAGCATTTCTCACGACCAAGAAGCAAGCTCCGTACACCGGGAGACAGTGGAGACACCACACTCGCAGTCTCTACATCGTCCAACTTGTTTCGAAAATCTGGCTTCTTTGGAGCGATAACATGTTGAGGTTCCGCGGTCTTCGAAGTAACCAAGGAGCCCCTTTTACGAAAATAGCTCCTTGGGAATACAGACGATAGATCGACTTCTGGATCGGACTCAAATTTGATATTGAGTTCGTCTAGTGTCCTAATATTTAGTCTCCCAAGCTCAGAAAGTCTCGCAGACTGCGCAAGTAGGTGTGCATCGCGGTATTGGTTGTTAAATATCGACAGCAAATCTACGGCTGGATTGCTATCCAATGCGGCCTGGAGCTCGACCATGAGATCTTTATTCCATTGTGGGCCATCTCGAGAGAGTAGTGAAAGAGATTTCTGGCTGTTAAACATGGTTGTAACTAATGCTAGGAAGGATTAGAATGCGAGAAAAGGTTCCTAGCACTTCAGCCTGGGCGCCTCTATCTATAGATTTTCTAGCGCGACTCTTGGCACGTATCACGCGCGTAATATAGACATTCTAACTTAAGGAATTATAGAAAAGATATAATATTTCATCTAGCGCCCGCTAGTGCTCTAACTAGAACCCTAGCTTAAAAAAATATATTTTATAATATAAAAAGATAACTAGAACCTAATTTAAAAACGATGTCTACCGAGACAATGCTATGTTTGTTAGCATCTTACTTGCTGAAGCCCAATAGTTTTAGTTGCAACCCATAAGATCTCCCAGGCTTGGTCTGAGTTGAAGTATAATGGGACCTAGGTAGGTCTCAGACTGCTCCGTTGGGGACTGTGGATATATGCTGGGGCCACCAGCTAAGAGGAAGTTGTAGTGCGTATGTGTATATATTGACATAATCGACAGATGTTCAAATCAAGACTGACTAGAGTGAGGTCATCACCTAGGTGTACATGTACATGGCAAGTCCCGAGTCCCCGAACCACCACTAATAGCAATTGGTCGCCATGGTATGGCTAGTCATGTGTGGACTAAATGTGCATGACCACACTAAGTCGTATAGATTCTCTGTATCTGAACAAGTGTCGTGTTGGGAGTTTACATATATAGATCTAGAGGTGTGCTTGATTTTCAGTACATATGATGGCTGACGGAAAGATATATGGTATCAAGTTCGACATCGTGTATTCATATGTGCATGAGAGTTTCTCCTAGTCGACGGCCGGTGAAGTAACGAGGTCATTCCGCGTTGTATCATCCTAATTAGTGCTTCGTTGCCTCATCAAATTTCGTAACACATTCCGATGACTGCCACAGGGGCAAAACGATGTTAAGGGAAATCCCATCATTGTCATTGCTCGATCGCTATGGGCTTTGCAGGACCAGACTTTTCCTCACCTTGGATAGTCGAAGGCGTTGCCACTTGCATCTGCTGCTCTGCTCGCGGTGTTCTGTCTCGATCCATCTGTTCTATGACTTCGACGGGTGCGTGGCTGCTGCTGCTGCCTTCCAACGGTGCCCGTCCCATTCTACTGAGCCATGATTCTGCGCTTTCGATTGTACCGCCAATCACAGCGGCAACTTGTGCCATCACCTCAAGACTTTCTTGAGCGAACACGAGCATGTGGTGCGTTGTCGTGGCTTCGTAAGGTGTTGTACTTGCTGTGCTCCCAGAGTCAGATTGTTGTATCCTCTGCCACCGGACAGGTGCAGACATGACTTGACCGCGAACAACGCGACTGGCATTATCAGGTAATGCCCCCCACGTGTACTTGATCACGGATTGCATGACATGGTGTAACATCTTCCAAATGTTGCCTCCTAGCCTTTTCATCTCATCAGCAAGCTGGCGTGACCTCTCTTCTTCTTCAGCTGGTAAGCGTATAGCGCCATCACCGGTGGCAATGTCGGCTGACTCTTGTGCTGCTCTTCGATTGTCCTCATAGTCTCGCAGTAGACTCTTTAGACACTCCATTGATTCGCCAAGCTTCTCGGTAAAATGTTTTAATAGACTCATACAGAACTTGAGTCTTTCGAGCGATTCCTTGTGTAAAGCCGCGCCGAGCCCAGAAGTAGTCATGATTAATTGTGTGGACCAGTTGAGCTTCTGTTCAGGTCCGGGGCTTGTGGAGTTGATTTGTGTTGATGCCTTCTCTTCATAGGTGGGTGAGCGATTGTCATCGTATGCTGGTAGGGACTCGGTGTAGGAACTCGTCGAGTCGTTCCGAATCCGCGAACTAGCGGGTAATTGACGACCTCGTTCGATAACCGCATCATCACCTTTCTCAATCCGCCTTCGCTTACCAGCACCCTCGTCTTGGGCCTCCAGGTCGCTTGGTCGTCGGTGTTCCCCCAAGTATCTGCGTATGCCAACTTCCATACCAGTCCTGCGCCCCATCGAACTGATAGTGTTTGTAACCGGGGTACCAACGTTTCTTTCAATATACTCGGCACTATCGCGTACGATGCGAGGGGAGTAATTTTTCGTCAAGGCATATGCAGTCAGCGAGCCGTTTATCGTGGTACCGAGCCAAGGGTGACTCGTGGTCAACAATCTGAGAAGAGGCTCCCTGTCACATTCCTTCCCAATATCTTGCGTGATTATCGGAGGTACTTTACTACCTCTTGACGGTGGTTTGGAGAGTCCACACATGGCTTCAGCCGCAAGACGCACATCCGGGTCGTCGATAGAGACAGCACTTGGCACCCTCGACATTAGTGTCGCCTCTTCAACGCCTAACGATGCATCCATAGCCATTGATCCCCCAATCGTACCCGTGGGAACAGTCGGAAAGTTGATATGGCTAAAGGTGTCTCGTCCCAGCCAGGTGTCGCCATTTGACCGAGGAGGTAAGTGTAATGAGTCTAATTTCGGGAGATGTAGGTTGGATGATGGACGATCCACCGGAGGTTCTGAAGTTGGTACTGGAGGTAGAAATATTGTACTAGGGTCATGCGAGTAGGCTGGCGGACGATGGTGTTGCTGCCGCTGCTCCATCATACCGTCGCAAATATAAATGAATGGGTGAGCACAGGCGGTGAGACAACATTCAAGAGTAAGGGGTGAGTTATTGAGATGTCGAGGCCATGATTAGCGGGCTAGGTGTGCGACGAAAGACGGATATCGTCAGGCTGATTTAAGGCCGTGAGTGATAGTGATGGTGGGAGAGACATCAGACACGGGAAGGAAGAGAGCTGGCGAACGGCATGTGATCGTGATGGAACCAAGCATTCACCCGAATTTTCTAGTGTAAGCTCCACCTGCAATCCTATGATACCGCATGGGCGATAAAGACGCAATCGCAGGCCGATTTGATAGATGTATTAGGCTACGTTTGCAGCACGGCTTCGCTGTTGAGTCTACACGTTTTAAGCTCCATTCCTTTAGCCCTCCGACATGTGAAAAGGATTAGAGACCGCAATGGTTATTATGCTTGGCAAACGTTGTCTATCTTTGCAATCAGAGGGGTGGAGTTGACCACAGTAATGGGCGTCGCGCGATCTTCATTGTGACTCTTAGCAATCCCATCCTCCTCGAGGTCCCTCCCAGCATACCTGTCATCTCATTCGCACCATGACTGTCTTTAGGATTATCATACTACTATCGGATAATACGTCTGCAACTGGGGCACATGCTCGCGCTACTATTAAGTCCGCACCCCCACCAACTCATATACATACTAAGCGACCACGTGTTTTCACATGTACTTATATATTTTATATATTATTATATTTACTACTAGTATTATATACCTAATAGATATTATATTTGAATACCCTCTTTAAATACCTCTAGACTATATTAAGTAGCTTAGTACTAACTTTCCTAAGATTCTCTAATCTTTATTTGGTTTTTTCTATCTTAAGTTCTAGGCTATATATAGTTATTATATTAAAATTAAAATATAAGTCTAATTAGATAGAAGAAGATATTATAACTAGTATATAAAAGAAGATAGTATGACTAGATAAAATCTATTAATTATACGATTAGCCTCCTATCTACTTTAGAAGAAATGCAGAGCGGGTAGTTGTCTAACGTAGAGCCACTTAGCCACTTTCAGCTAGACTCATACCCATCGGTCGTAACACTTCCAAGACACGCCAATGAAGACTCTCGACGCGAACGATATATTCTCATATACCCGGCAGTTCGTACAGTTATGGCTTCGCTTTCGCGGGGTCTCCGTGCTCCAACAAGAGCAGCGTGTCAATTCCAGAATGTGATTGCATTGTCTGTGCCTCAACGACAATTTTCTGCGCGAGCTGCCGCCTTTCCAACCTTCCTCGATAGCCCCAATGTCGAATTGAACACCGCTTTTTTGCAATTTCGCGATAAACATCTCCTACCATACTATCTCAACAGAAAACAGTACAGGCTTGCCACGAGTGAAAAGTCCCGGCACATGCTTGAGCTAGATCCCATCGCCATTAAAGTTGGCAAGGCAGATACTACCCTGACGCATTTCGGTGGCCTTACGAAACTCCCCAAACGAAAACCCGCCATACACCACTTCATATCTTTAATGAAATCGGAAGAAGACTGGCATAATCTCGTGTTGCTGCTCGAAGGGCTTGAGGGTACCGAGAATGGGCTCAGCAAAGCCCTGAAGGTTACCGTTCTGCATAAGATCATCAACGAAGACAAATTCTCCATTCTTGTCAAAATTGTAGGGAATCCCGAGAAGTACGGCTTCCGCTTGACCGACCCAGACATCTCCGAGGGTGTCATAACCGCAATTCACCAACACGCCTCCCTTCACGCGTGGGATTCACAACGAGTGAGGCACGCCTTCAAGGCAGCGGACCAATTTGTGGACTTATCAACACGCGACTTCTACCGTGCTGATCCTACCGTACAACGGAACCCACACTTGATCGCTTCCGCGTTGGAAATGATCACGAAACTCATCAGTCTTGGGGTCGCCGGAGACCTAGAAAAAGCTAGGGGCCGTGAGTATGCAGAGCGCTTCATGGCAGTGGTGAAGCAAGAGAATCTATGGAAGGTATATACCCGTTCATAGCACATATAATGCTATCAGAGTGGCAGCTAATCCGTGGACTTCAGAAAAATGACCTCATGCCTAAATCGCACATGAGGTGGCAACGATATTGGTTGCCGCCAGTCATTGGGATGTGGAACGCAGTGAAACAAGCCCTCGCTGTAGCGGAGGAGATCAAATTGGAAGATCGGCAGTTGACCCAAGATGTTGAAGAAAACTTGAGATTACAGCTTGCGGAGGTCAAGCTGACATCGCGAGTCTTGACACATGATCTGGAAAGCTGTGGATGGCTATTCTGATATAGACAGTATCTTCTAGGAGAAGTACGAAGTAATCGAGTAGAATATTGGCACATTTAGTCGGTGTAAAGAAATGGCATGTGTCGACCATATGTGTGTGCACTGCGTTGTACATGGTTTTGATAGATAAACGCTTTATATAGTATAGGTAGCTGGCTGAGATGTGAGATGGGCGAAGACGTACGCGCTCATAAATTCACACCTGTTCATCAGAAACCCTCCTTTTATGGATCTGATATAGCTCTCTCTGCAGGTTAGGAGTGCAAGGTTTTAGCTAACGCCTTGGTCCGCCTGAAGGTGCAAGTAAATACGTGAATGGGCTGACCGTAGGTGCAAAAGTAACGCTAATACCCCCGACGCCAAATAGGTCGGTAGGGGAAGAGTATGAGTATCGAAAGAGATCATTAATCTTCATAAAGGGACAGTATGTATTTGATACATGGGCAACAAGGGGTTGCAAATGTCGTGGATCGTCTCCTACCAAAAGTCACTCATTTCACCCGCCTCTATAACCATACGTAGCTTTATTCCACTAGAACTCTAGAGCTATAATGTTATTATATACCCCTTTCTATAAGTTTAAAGGGAATATAAATATAGTAAAAATATGTGATTAGTAATGCCTTCACCTAAAATTGGAGACTCGGAACAAGCCATGACTTTTACAAACCTTAGGAGGTTGGGAGATGGACGAACAAAGACGCTGATTCCAGAGGAGTCCGGTCTAAGTGGGAAACTACTCTGTCCACGCCCCAAAACCATGTATGATAGGGTTGGTAACATTTTCATCTTAGATGCACTATCTAGTATTACAGCTCTACTTATACGACTTTTCCGTCTTATATGCATTCGCCAAGTTTGCATATCATTGTACAACACTTTCTCAACCTTTTGCACCATGTCGGCCGAGCAAATCTGAATATAGCGAAGTAGAGCATAAGGTACGTATTCCTCTTTGGTGGTAGCTCTACACTCAACGAGCATAGGCGAGTACTCCCCGAAAATATTCCACTCCCCTTTCGCGTGCACACCTTAGCCAGCCATCTTCCATAAGCGGCAACTTCACGATCTCGCTCTTGCTAATGGCGTCTTCACTTTGTACCCAGCCGGCTGTGATTCGTGCCATCTCCCAGACCGCCGCCCGCTCTTGTAGCCCCAGTTTGCCGTCCTCCAGGGTCTTGGTCATTTCAGATAGTGCGGCGACCAGGCGTTTCAGCACCATACCACGCTCTTCTTTCAAGACTGTCCCACGTGTAATAGCTCCACGCCCGGTGTCCATCAGATAGATGAAGTCGAGGTATATCTGCCCACCTTGGCTCCAGTAACGCATGGTATTGCCAGTTCCTCCTGAAACAGCATCCTTGCCACATGTCGGCTTCCTGTGACTCTGCGGACGCTCGAATGCGCCAAGAAGTTGGCGAAGGATGACATAGTCTCGCGAAATTATGGCAGAGGGTGCGACCACAGTGCATAGTACGTCATGTGCAGCAAAGTAGTCTGCGGCAGCCAAAAGGTGTTGAATCTCTAGGGTAGGATCCTGTAAGACCGCACGTGCATAAAGAGCCTTGGCGGAGTGTAGCCAATGCAATGGAAGTTGCAGAGTAGTGATCAGCAGTTCGCAATCAGACTTCAGTCGTTCATGTGCTGGTGAGGGGTCGGGCGTCGTCGGCAGGATCTCGAAATCGCCAGACTTCAATGTGAGAACTCTCCTTATGTTTGATTCGCGGAGGCTAGCACTGGAGAGATGCAAGTAAACAAATATGGAAGTCTTCCAGGCTTGAGTATCTTCGAGCATGGCTCCATATGTCAGGGTCAAGTCGTCAGATATGGCAACAGCGCCATGAGGGTCGCTTCCAATGCTGACGCTCTGCATTGAAGAGGTAGAGGACACCATGCTTGCGTCCAGTTTCGCTCGTTTTTGTTGCACTGGAAGCTTGATTTCCTTGCGAGTACGTAGTAGTGTAATGAGCTGCCAGCTCAGGCGGGCATCCAGAGGGTTCCCCGAGGCATTAGCCGGTGCCAGGATCTCTTCAACATTGATTGGGATGTCCTTGAACTGTACAGCGTACAATTTGAGCAAACCCCATAGCAGATCTTCAATATGATCGGCAGCGCAGCCGCTGGACCTGTTGGTTTGCTGCTCCTCAGCAAACCATGGCACTGGCTTCACATATTCTCGGCCCTCTCGTAAGTCGCTTTCGTACTGTGCCACAGCCATCGCAATATCTTCTGATGGTAAAGTGCCATACCAAAGACGAAGGCCAAAGGCGCGACGCCAGTCCATTTTGAAGCGTGAGCTAATCCTGAAAGTGGTCGCTTTGTTTTCCGGCCCAGAGCCGCTTTTGCCATCAGAAGTAGAGCAGTTACCTGCTAAGAGTTCGTAAATTGCACGAATTGTGTCTGTCATCTCAGATAGTACATTAAGAGTCCTCCACTCTTCAAGCTGACTACCAATCTCACGCCGCATTGATTCGGAGCCGCCAATCTGAGCTACCATTGTAGCAAGATGTAAATTGCGCCCTTCGAGAAGTGAAATACACGCATCCGAGATGTTATGCGCAGACAATTGTTGAAGAGCTTTTGTCTCCGAGACATTTGTCCTCTCCGCATGACTATCAGCGTCGACTTGTACGATGGACTGCCAGAATTCGGACAGGCGATCTTTTCGAAAAAGGGTCTCATATGCTGCAGACCGAGACTGGGGCATTGCTTCAGCTGTTTCTAAGTTTGGCTTGTCAAACAGAATGCTAGCCAGGTGCCAGACTTTCTGTTCGTAGGCTCCATCGCTTGTCGAGGTATCGACTCGAGCAGCAAAATCAGCGAAACTGAAGGGGACGCTGTGCTGTATGTATGGAATGTTATCGTCATCTTTGCGGATTTGGAAGAAGTTCTTTAAGTACACCATGGTGTCTGGGACAGCCTGACGAAAATTAGTCATGTCTGCGCTTCTTTTCAATACACCAACTTTACATTTTTTGGTACTGCTACTTGCGCGTACCGAATGTCTTTTTGCTCGCCTACCAAAGGTTGATTTACGTTCACAACCATGCCCTCGTCTAAGGTTGGGGCGTTTGCGTTAATGGCGTAAACTAAGGTACCGTCGGGGCTCCAATGTGGCTTATTGCACTCGTGAAAGGCTTTGTCATTTCCGGTCAATTGACTCGCATCTGTGACTTTGGGCTTCTTTGTGAAGGGGATCTATTGGACAGAGGGTTCAGCAATCATATCTTAGTTTCATGTTTACATACACTTGTTAAGCCATCCAGTAGGCAAAGAAAGGTCCACTAATAGCCCAAGCTTCGTAGGTGGTAGATGGCGAACATACGAGATTAAGGGAGTCAAACCTTTGAGCAGAGTCCATCTACATTTATTTTCGGTTGAGAATTAATAAGTGGCTTCTCGTCGCGTCCATAAAGGGAATTCATTATATCCATACTGGTGCGGAATGGTTTATCCTCGTCACTCAGTTTTTTCGGTTCGTGGAAGCTTAATTGTTTCTGCTGGAGAACGGTGCCTTGGGACTCTCTCAAAGCTTGTCGATCGCGCTTCGTGGGGCTGACGGTAAGTTGGAGCTGGGTAGTCCAATTATCTTGAAAGTCTACTAACTTCTTACTCGGTGTGCCTACCAGAGATCGACCTGTGCGACTTGTCTTGAGGATCGACTTTGGCGGACCCAAGCATTTCGTGGTCATTGCAGCAGCTGTAAGATGCTCCATGGTGGGTGCAGGTACGGGAAAGGATCCTGCCATTTCTTGATCCTTGTCCAACACCGATTCCCTCACGTCGAATGTGTCCCCATCTGGACCATTTTCAGGGAAAGAACCCATGGAGCGCTCATCTAAAAAAGACCGAGTGCTGTTGAGAGTATCGTCATGATCGTCAGCGTTGTGGTCCACCATAGGTTCATCTTCGAACCCGCCGGGAACGCTAGTCTTTCTTCGTCGCTGAAATTCAAATGTGTCGTCAAGCTCGGAGTCTACATCGCTGAAACCACTCAGGTCGTCCGCTGTGATTGTGGACAAGGGAGTCCTAACAGGCGTGCGAGTTTTTGGCGTTGGGGTGTCTGGAGGAGCGCTTAGCATGCTCGATTCCAAATCATCCTCCACGTTGCTGTCGTCTCCTTCAAAATCCATGCCGTATTTCGTGAAGTGGTCGACTCTAAAAGTCCATATACCTGTTTTCATGTCATAGTTGACAAATTGGGTATCAGGAACGCGCTTCAGTCTAGACACATGCTTCTCGAAACGGGGACCTTTGTTCTCATGAACTGGTAACCTCCCAGCTTTAGCACGAGGCCAAGAATTCTCAAGCACAATAGTGGAAGGGACATTCATCCCCATGCCGCGCGGGGGCTTTTTAACCGGACCGTCCCCAGAATACACAGAGGCAGATCGGACTTCAATCTCAACAATACCGCCAGTGATCTTGTCCAATGGTGTTGAAGAAAGATCAGCTTCACTGAAGATGACCTTGCCCGTGTTCACTCGACCTACCGTAAAATCTTTCACGTGCTTCAGCTGGTCACGGCTCATCTTTCGCAACTCAGCTATAGACGGTATCGTAAAGTATTCTGCGGGCTCTTTGTCTTTCATTGATTCCAGGGGATTTGGTTTAGCAGACTGTGCGGATGACGACATGTTCTCGGGTACGCTTGCTAAAGCCTTGCCATTGATAGAATCTCCTTCGGCATGGCTAAAGCCATGGACAGCTCCATTAGGCTTTGTAGCACTATCTTCGGCGGTAGTGCGCACTAAAGCTTGACTGTCACCTATTTCTGAAGTTTCAGTTCCAGCGCTCGTAGCAAAAGTCACACTCTTTACGTTTTTAGTGTTCTTGAGTGGGCTTGGTGCGATACCATTGTTGACTTCAGCCGGCGTGAATAGATGGTGAGAGCCGTTCACGTTGCGATTGATGTGGAGCCGTTTCAGGCTACCTGAAGCATAACCGCGCGGGCTCGCAGTGAACGCTCCAGGGGAGAGGATGCTGTCATCCGGTGTGAAGGAACCTCTAAGGTTGCTAGTGGAAAAGCTCTTGCCCAAAGACCTACTAAAGCTGGAGCCGTTCAGCAAGTTGGAAGCAAAGCTACCGGGACTAGCATTACTGGCAGCACTGCCAGGGGTACCATAGGTTGAGTAAGAGAAACCGAAACCAGTGGGCGGACGCTTTTGAGGGGTGATGAGACGAGTTGAAGCAGCCGGGTTCAACTTGTGTTGCGGTAGAATGGCATTTTTTTTGGCCATGTGGTTGCCTTTGAGGGGGGTCGCAATTGGGCCAACACTCTGAGATGGATTCTCGAGATGTGCAAAGAGCTGCTCGTTGCCATAGGGCAAGTTGTCGAGGCTAGCCACCAAGCCTTGAGGCCGATTTTGCGTGTTCTGGGAGCCAAACAAGCTGTGGTTCATTTGAGGCTGGGGCTGCTGCTGATGCTGAGAACCTCCAAAAAGACCTCCATTCGACCCTGTATTTTGCTGTTGAGCTTGATTCTGGCTCCCAAAGAGACCATTACCACCGGTCGAGTTGGTTCCGCCAAATAATGACAATTTGCCTTGGTTTTGATTCTGCTGGCCGAACAAGCCCGTTGCCTGGTTTTGCTGATTTTGATTGCTCAGGCCACCGAACAGTCCATTATTAGTATTGGTCGCTGCCGGCTGCGAACCAAAGAGACCAGTAGTACCTGTGGGCTTTTGGCCAAACAGACCACCGTTTGCAGGTTGATTTTGGTTGTTAGTAGCACCGAATAAACCACCACCAGTATTCTGTTGTTGACTATTCTGACCAAATAGACTACTTCCAGTCGCTGCGCTCGTTTGGGCACCAAAAAGACCTGGCTTCGGTGGATTATTGTTGTTTGTCTGACCAAAAGTACCACCGCCTCCAAATAGACCTCCAGAAGGCTGTTGAGCACTTTGCTGCTGATTGTTCTGACCAAAGCTACTTCCGAATGCAGAATTTGTATTCTGTTGTTGGTTATTTGCTCCGAAACCAGTATTGGTATTTTGTTGCTGTCCGAAGAGACCACTGCCTGTTGAGGTAGAAGTGCTTTGTCCAAAACCAGTAGTGTTGTTTGTGTTGGAGCCAAATGTACCCGTTCCTGTACTAGCTCCAAATCCTCCAAATGCAGGTTTATTTTGAGCCTGATTGTTGTTGTTGTTGGCGCCGAAGAGCCCTCCAGTTGGTGGAACGCTTCCGAAGGCGCCAGTGGCACCATTACTCACTCCAAATCCAGTGTTGCCACTGCTTGATCCGAACAGTCCACCTCCAGCTGTTCCAGAAGTTGCCGCGCCTCCAAAGAGACCTGAACTAGCTGGTTTGTTCTGACCGAAGAGCCCACCTGCTGGGGTATTGCCGAACGTGGACGTGTTATTTGCTTGCCCAAAGCCAGCAGGCTGCTGAGGCTGCTGATTATTGTTATTGTTGTTGTTCCCGAATAGCCCTCCACCGGTTGTGTTTGTACCAAATCCTCCGGTGGCAGCGGTGTTAGTGGTACCTCCGAAGCCACCAAAACCACTGCTTTGGCCGAACGTACCACCTTGTCCATTTGTAGTCCCATATCTCTTGCCCTTATTGTAGTCCACTAGTCTCAGCTCCTCCTGCGAGAAGTTCTTGTATTGATCCATGGTGGATATGCTTTGATAGGACACGGAGGCAGCGCCGGGAGCTTGTCCATCCTTTTCATTCACAGGCTGGAATGGCACAGCATCTGTCCCATTGTTCTGGGTAGTATTTGCACCAAAGCCAGTGGACCCACCGCCGAACGTGTTGTTATTGCTTCCAAACCCTGTGTTTGCACTCCCAAAGAGTCCTCCTCCCGTTGGAGTTCCACTTCCAAAGGTAGGTTTCGCAGTTCCAAAGACACCACCACTGGTGCCTGTGCTACCAAAACCGCCAGATGTTTGGTTGTTGTTCTGGCCGAAGGCGCCGAAGCCTGTCGAAGTAGCAGCATTGTTGTTACCTCCAAAAAGCCCTGTCCCGCCAAAAGTTGGTTTATTCGCACCAAACCCGGAAGAAGTATTGTTATTGTTGCCAAAACCTTAATTGTAGTCAGCGAATGCTCCGAATATAGTCATTCACACCTCGACGAAGCCCAATGAGCCGACGCGTTTCCGCACACATTTGTTGCCTATCCACAGCATAGGAACGCAACGAGGGACTCATTGCAGGAAAGAGAAGCTGACAAACAATAATGAAGGGCACATGGTAAGGATGTAGCGAGATTTACGTACCTCCAGTATTACCACCAAAGCCTCCACCAGTAGATCCGAAGGCGCCAGTGTTGTTGTTGTTATTGTTGTTGTTGTTGTTTGCACCGAAACCAATGTTCGCAGACGCTCCGAAGCCTGTAGAAAGAAGATTAAATCAGAACCTGGATGCTGTATTTGCGGGATCGCATTGGTATAGAAGGTATATATGACTGAGAAATATACAAATGAAACAGAGTCTAACTTACCAGTACTGTTATTATTGTTGTTCTGTCCAAATCCGCCAAAGCCGGTGTTCTGCTGCTGACTGTTCGCGCCGAAGCCGCCGAAACCACCGAAGCCAGACATGGTCGCGAAATAGACTGCGTGACGAGAAGAAAGATCGCTCCGCCTGTATCGGACACAGAATGAAGAGTAGGTAGCGTGACAGACAAGATAAGGCTCGTTGCGTTAGCTGCACTGAAGTGGAATATCGGATCGCGCGAACACGCGCCCTGTCGTATTTTTGGGCCGATGAGAGAAGACGTACAGGTCGAAAGCAGGACCAGACGTGTGACGAATAGATGTAGCACTCAACTCGTCGTGTAATGACGGATATCGAGGCGTTGTAATTTGAACATGAAGATGAAGGGTGGCGGTCGCAAAGGAAAGTTGACTTGTCGTGTGGTTCGGGCGTTATGATCCTGACGCTAGGCCATGAAGATCCATCGAAGGCAGCAACAAGGCAGCAACAAGGCAGCAACAAGGCAGCAACAAGGCAACAACAAGGCAGCAACAAGGCAGCAACAACACTATGGCTCACCCTGGACGAGTAGTATACGTGTAGCTGTCGAAATGCTCAGACTTAGGATATGGGTATTTGCTAGATCCTCATTGACTACTATGACGGATGCAGATATAATTGAATGGAATCAGCCTCATACTAATGCTAAATATCTATTTTTGTAGCCTGGATGTTCTTCACAATCGAGCAAGTTTATCAGCATTCCCGATTGACAAAGAAGACCTGAGTCGGTGAATGCATCCGCCGTGAGCGTGCCTCGCTATATACTGCTGGTACGTATATGATGGGACAGACGACTCTTCGTGACACAGAGATGACGATGCATCTTACTTGCTGCGCTTGTAAATTTTTCGCAAAAACTCTTCGAACACCCCCTTCTTCAAGCCTTCTGACTCGTCCAGGCTGTCGATCTTCTTACGCAGCTCAGTAACGCGGTCTTCTTCGAACTCGTGATATACCTGCTCAAGCTTCAATTCTGCGTATAATGCCTTGACTTTGGCTTCTGCGGCATCGTCTTTGCGACCATAGTGATCCTCAAGAAGTTTTCTCTGCTCCGGGGACGCAAGCTTCAGGGCTTGATTCACCAGCCAAGAACACTTGTTGTCCTGAATATCCGTGCCGATCTTGCCAAGGACTTCAGGGTCGGCAAAGGCATCCAGATAATCGTCCTGGGCTTGGAAGTATTCGCCCATCGGGATGAGGATGTCATGTGCTTGTTTCAGGTTCTTTACTGTGGCGAACCCGCAGAAATATAGAGAGAGCGCCACAGGAAGATAGAAGCTGTAGTAAGCTGTCTTAAAGATGACAATGAAGGAGAACTTCTCCAGGCTGAAGTTGTTAAGATTGACGTCGTCTTCCGGGGCAGTAAGGAGATCACACTGCTGTCCGAGCTCTGTCTGGAAGGTGACTTCGTGGAATAGCTCCATGAGGTCAACATACGATTGCTCTTGTTTGAAGTGTTTTTTGAGGAGAACATAGATGGAAGCCTCGAGCATGAATGCATCATTGATGGCAATCATCCCTACGCCCGGGCATAGATACCAGCAAGGCTGACCACGGCGAGTCTTAGATGCGTCCATTATATCGTCAGATACGAGGAAGAAAGCCTGAAGAAGCTCTATCATCCATCCCAAAGCTGCAGACCTAAAGTATTCTTCCTCGTTGAGGGTTTTGCCGAGTAGAAGGGAGGAGGTATCAACAACGGACATGCCACGATTGCATTTGCCGCCTACGGTGTTGTAGTTGAGTTGCTATGAATATATTAGTCAACGGAGCTCGAATACACCAGATAGGTAACATACCTTCTCGAACCAGTCCACTGCCTGCTTAGGAAGGCCATACTGCTTGGTAGAGCCGACAATATCCTGGCACAGACGAGGCCAAACGCCCTCAAATTCTGTGAGAGTTGTAGGCATGGTCGTAAAGTGTAAGCTATAGAATTCAAGAGATAGAATGAGACTCAGTCGCTCAATTGACTTAGTGGGGCAAGCGTGTTAGGGTTCCAAGTAATTAGGCAGGGCAAGACGAAATGACCATAAACAGAAGAGACGGGTTGAAGCAGATACCAGGGCTCGGTCCGCTGCTCAATGCAGGAAGCCCGAAGAGCTCAAGGGTCCAAAAGAAAGTCCGTAAAACTACTAGACACCCAACCTATGATGAATTATATACTAAGACCAAAGGAACCCGCGAACCCTATATCATAGGGAGCGCAAAAGGTAGTACTATAAGTAGACACGGTAGCTATAACACCATAGTAATAATAATAATAATATTATTATTATTATATAACTAGATAGAGTAGTACTCTATAGATATATACCTTCTCTAGTCTAAGTATAAGAATTAAGTAAATAGATAGTAGTATAGCTAGATAGAGTAATAGAGTATATTCTATTATAGAATAAATTACTACTAAATCCTTTTAGTAGTAATTAAAGAGTATATATATAGATATAAGAGATACTAATCTATCTAGTATATAACTATTTACTACTAATTATACTACTATCTCTAACTATCTTAGCTAAGATATATATAAATCTAGTCTAGTAGTCTTTAGCTAATTTCTAATAATTAATATAAAACTTATAGTTCTAGTATAGATATAATATTTACTCTTAGAGTAGTAGACTAAGTAGTTATTACTTTATATATAGATTCTTATATTTTAAATAATATTAAAAATATATTAATATTTATCTTACTTAGATTATACTAGATACCTTACTAATACTTTATATATTCTTTAAAAATTAGTCTTTTATATATATAAGTTACTAAAGTAATTAAAATTTTTAGAAGTAATATTTTTAAAGAGTAATATATACTTTTTAGGCATGTAGTAATTCTAAATATAGTCTATCTCTACATTAATACGGATGGAACCCTCCTTTTTTTCCCTTCGCCTTTCTCCCTTGCCGTCCCTCCTTCGCACTCGAGGTAGTACTGTAAGGTGAACTAGGCTGTTTCCAAGCCTTGACTTGACCGTCTTCTCCACACGTGAACACAGTCGATGTCTATCAGTATGAGTCCCTAGCTGCAAATGTAAAATATGAGTGCTTACGGGTGCATCAACCAAGACATCTCGCACAATGTCGTCCCCATGAGCGCCAGCAAGCTCCCACGTGACATCCACGCTATCCGCCAAAGGGAACGGATATAGTGTCAAACTCTGCCGACTATGACTTCCAGCAGCAACGAAGGGGGCATCAGAGTCTCCATAGACTATGTTAACTATGTACTCACAGCCAAGTCTCTCGCGTAGGTCACCGTGATGGGTCGGGTCGGGGTCCACTGCGATTTCGTCTGGGCCCTGTAGGCTGTACGTGGACAATACTTCGTCTGTACTAAGGGCATATATACTGTTTGATTGACGGAGGAAGCCTGCATGATGGACGGCAGATTTATGATTTATAATCTGATGCAGGGCATCCTCTTCATTCGGCTGCTCAGTCTCGAAGACGTTGACAAGCCCATCAGTTGCGCAGGAAAGAAGTAGAGAAGGGTGTGTTGAACTGAAATGTAGCTGATTCAGTCAGAGATGGCGTAAGGGCTACAAATGGCATCTGTCTGGGAAGCAGCGACACTCACGTCAGTTATGGTGTCATTGTGAGATTCGAGCAATTCCAGTTTGGGCCTTGCAACGTTTCGCATGTCCCTTGAAATTAAAAATTAGCATACCTTATTGGAGAGAAAGAGTTCAACTACAGCATGCCCCTACTTGAGACAATGCACAAGTTGTTCGTTGTCTTACCATATGAACACAGGAGCCTCTCCTGGAGGATTACAATCAAGCTCCACCCCAGCGGCAATTGTACTTGATAATGGGTTCCATTCTAGAGCCGATAGAGGAAGTCCCCTTGCTACTGGCATCATTAGTACCAATAAACACTGAGTCAGAAGGATGCGCATACGAGCTTTGATTTGCGACACATTTTTATGACTCCTCAGATCCCAGCAATTTATTTCCCCGTCTCTCCCGCAAGTAGATAGGACATTGCCATCAGCAGAAGCCCTCTTTAAGCAAGTTACACTTCGATTAACGAGCGTAAACAGTCCGTCTGGTAGGAGGAGCTGCAGGGTGGTAGCGTCAATGAGTCGTAAACTATCATCAGACGAGATGATTGCGAGACGCCCATTAGCGTTGAAAGGTGCCGTCGACACAATCGAGTAGACATATGTATCGGATGGCAATCCGAGGTTCGTTGATGCGATGGGTGTAAGCCTGCTCATAATGAGGAGTTGTTCTCATTCAACTTGTGTGCAAATTCTTTAGTGGGACTACTCAGATTCATATTGGGCACGTCGCGTGTCCATCTGGCCAAGCGGAAATGATGGATATGGGAAAAGGTGTCATTATGCGAAGAACAATACGAGAGTATAGAAGCCCAAGATCACATCATTGAAGAAAGTCTAACCAGTCAGAAAATTGCGTAGTGACTGACCTACGACGACATCAGAGCACGAGGGCTCGGCCATGTAGAGTAGGTAGAGCAAGACAACCAGAACACGCGACAACACCAGGGCTGACGTGGATTGCAATCAACACAGTGCTTTCAGCATCGCAGTAACGTATACACGAGTGTAAAATTATGAAATGGTATGACCTTCTACTATTTGAATGTCACCCTGGATATGAAACACATTCTCCCATGGGTAGAGCAAGTAATGTGTGATTAACTGCGGGTTGTCTCTCTTGAGTCCTCGTATGCAGCAGATTGATGCCAACAGAATATTGGCTCCCAGCTAGACCGCCATCGATTCATTCCGTGTGGCATAGATGGCGGCTTGGAGGTCCCTTGGGGGAGAAACAGAAACAAAGGTCGAGAAGATCTTAAGTAGGCGAAAGTTTCTGCGCAATGCCCGAGGTTTATCCGATGATGAAGACCGGCTTATCTGAGGGTTACTCAAGCGTCCAGCTGTATTATGTATACTATACGAGTCGGCTATTATACGATATATCTAAGCCGCCTTACTAAGTAATATTGAATAAGCTTAAAGCACGTGTATATCCGTAGTCTATGAGGTTTAAATCAGTCAAAAACACGTTGTAATTAGTGCTGTTTTGAAGCCTGTAAGGTCAAAAACAGTCAAAATCTGTCTAAACACGTGTAATCAGTGTTGTTTTGAAGCCTGTCAGGTCAAAATCAGTCAAAATCAGTCAAAACACGTGTAATCAGTGTTATTTTGAAGCCTGTAAGGTCAAAATCAGTCAAAAGCACGTGTAATCAGTCAAAAGCACGTGTAATCAGTCAAAAGCACGTGTAATCAGTCAAAAGCACGTGTAATCAGTCAAAAGCACGTGTATAAGTGTTGTTTTAAAGCCTACAAGGTCAAAATTAGTTAAAATCATATATAATAAAGAGAGAGAGGGGGAGGAAGAGAGAGAGAGAGAGAGAGAGAGAGAGAGAGAGAGAGAGAGAGAGAGAGAGAGAGAGAGAGAAGAATAAGAGGCGGATAGAAGGGTACCGGAGATTACTTCGGCTAAACTAATGACTACATGATTACTCAGTAAATCTCTGTTTCGAACGTTTAGAACACTAAAATACGCTGGACGCTTGAGGAACCCTCGCTTATCTTGGCTCTGATGACTGGTAAGCCTCGGCCAGATGAAACTGGAACACCCGACAACGACCTGCTGGACCGATCTCGACAAGTCGACATCACCATTCATCCTTGTGCGAACCGTCAATCTGTCATATATCGCAAAGATGACAGCCCCTCGTGCGCTCCAGCTCGGACTTCGCCGCACTGGCTTGGGTGTCAAGTCGACTTTCAATGGATTCAAATCGCGAATTGCTCAGCGGAGGTATGTACACTATACGATCTACCAACTACCAGAATAATGCGATAGGTCTTGGTCTAACATTCCCATTCCTCAGGGTCGCCAGTACACAGACTACCTCTGAGTCCGCCGCTGCCGATAATATTCTCGTAAAACAGCGTCTTGCACGTCCTGTGTCTCCGCACCTAGGCATCTACCAAGCGAACATCGCTATGTACGGCTCGGCCTTCAATCGCATCACAGGGTCTATCTTATCCGGCGCGTTTTATATCTTCGGCTTTGCATACCTCGCTGCACCCACTATCGGCTGGCATATAGAAACTCCTAGCATGGTAGCTGCGGTTGGCAGCTGGCCGATTTGGGCTAAAATTGCGACCAAGTTTAGTGTCGCATTCCCTTTCCTGTTTCACTCCCTGAACGGTGTGAGGCATTTGGTCTGGGATACTGGTCGAGGATTTGCGACCAAGACAACCGCAAGGAGTGGTTGGGTTGTCGTTGCGGCATCAGTCGTGGGTAGCGCTATCTTGACGTCTGTGTAGATACAATATAAAGCAGCGTATATAGCAATTGAAGCAGGAATCTCATGGTGACAACCCGTCTGATGAGTTTATTGTATTCCATAGGTATGTGCGGTAGCTTATAAAGGGTCTCGTACATGTCAAGTGCTTCGCACATAGCGTTTCTCTACAGCATCAACTTGCTTCTTCATACCCTGGCCGCCGTATCCCTTTTCTACTCTTGCTCTGATATCTCGAACCAGTGCTTTGGCATCCTCGACTTCGACTCCATCCTGGCATAGCTCGTTCGCAAGTTCCATAGATCTCTGAAAACCGCCTTGGGAGTATTCCCACTTCGCCAGCCACATCCTCGCTTTGCTTGTTGTCGGCGTTACGCCCACACCGATACTTTCTACTGTAGTATCGCTCGTGTCTTGATCTTCCGGGCCCTCTTCTTGTGCCAATGTCAGCTCCATGTACGCCGCGCATTCCTCGTTATCCTGTGATCGCTCATACAATAGCGCAATTTGGTACAGAACTTCTGGGTCGAGTATACCAGCCCCAAGTCCATCCTGGTTTCCAAAACCACTTCCCGCCCCCGTATCATAGTAGCTACCAGCAACAAGGGCTCGCTTGTACGATCGGATACCGTTGGCACACTTGCCGACTCGGCCAAAGCTTTGACCTACGGCCATCCACATTTTGGGGTCGTAAGGCCGGAGGCTTGCTGCGCGTTGGTAATAGAATAATGCGTAGCTATGCATTTCGAGCACTTCGTATGTCTGGCCCAGGCCATACCATGCTCGGTAGTCTTTACGATTCACATCAACAGCTCTCCGGTAGGACTCTATGGCCGCATGGGTGTTCTTCATTTCTACGTACTCGTGTCCCATCAAAGTCCATGCGGACAGGAAATTTCGGTCGAGCATCAGTGCACGTCGAAAGTACATCACGGCCTTTTCGTGCTCTGACTTTAGACTGAAGTAATTGCCGACCACGCAGCATGTTTCTGGCCTAAACTTATCTGTGGCAGTAGCCAGTTGTGCCAGAAATGCCAGTTTGGGCTTGAGGTCAAGCACGTACAGAATGTTTGAGTAATTATCAAGCGAGTCAATCCGGTAGGGATCTGTCTGTAACAGATCGGAGAAAATGGATTCAGCCTCTTCGAAATCCTTTGAATGGTAATACAATAGAGCACGCTGGGTCTTTAAGAACGAGCTTGTTGGGAAGATAGACTCAATCTCATTTAGATTGGCGTGAACTCGGTCCGTTGACTGATACAGTTCCTGGCTGGAATATATGTGGAAGATAAAAGCCATAATATTCGGTGGGACTTGCTCGATCACTGCCGAGAGCTAAACGCTGTTAGCATTCAGACTCTCCCGGGATCGTACATTTAGGGACAAACCTCGTCGCTCGTAGCAAGTAAAGATGACAGTTCCACCCAGGCCCCCCAGTTGTACGGATATACACGCACGCTTTCAAGAAGCCATTTCTTTGCCAGTCGTTCATTCTTGTTCTTGGCAAGTACAATTCCGTACAGGTACTCAAGCCAGCCTCCACCGTTTGAATCCATGCCCCCAGCTGTATTTCTGTAAGAAAACCAATCCTCGAGGATCTTAGAAACATCGTTGAGCTCCTTGTTCACCGTCACCCCCCCGTCCGCTGGACCAAGAATCATCTCGCTTTCCTCATCTTTCCTTTTCTCCCCCGACATATATTTGGCATACAATGAGAGGAACAGCGCCTTCTGGCTTATACCAACCAATGATACTGCAATCGAGCGTTTCTCCGTAGGCATGGTAGCTTTCCTTTTGCCCTTCCCTATGCTCTGAGGGTGTATCGGGGATGATGTTCTGATCGGACCTTTGGCTACATTCGCCGGTAAGAAGATTGCTGCACATCGATCGAATTCACGACAATCAAAGTAGGCCTTCGCCAAGAGGTACCTCGGAAGCTCTTTTTTTTCCAGCGCGACTTCAATTGGGTCATGCAGTATGAAGACATCTTCATCACTTGGAGATGCGTCTGACATTGACGAATCGGGTTCAGTCTCTGAGCCATCTACGAGGGTAGTCTCTTGAAACGAGTTGAGTATTTCTGCCGCCCTTGAGCTCATTTATTAGTAGTGATTGTGATCTCGGTGATAAGAGTGACGGACCACTTGGCTGACTGAGATAGACAACGGTCAGAGCACTGAATGACAGCATTCTGAAGCTGCGCACGTAGCTGGGCTGCAGCTGGCTCAGATAATATGGCAGCCATGTCGCTTCGCCTTAAGGCTTCGGAGTGTACGGGAGACAGATTATCCCATACGTATGCGGTAGTGGCGGGTCTTTCGGGCGCTAAAGAAAGTCGACGCTGCTACGACACGAAGTCGTCCCTATAATCTGTACGGTATATCCTGTGGCACATGTGGGCTGTGTGGAGATGTGGAGAGTATTAGAGGTCTCTATACCAATAGAGAAATTACGAAAGTTTCTCGAGTGTCTATTGTTATTGTTGTTCTACTACTCGAGATTTCTTCGGCTAAATTATAGAACCTTCTACTTTAGAACCGTCTAAGATCGCTCTATCAACCCAGCTACCTTCGACAAGCAACTTCTGATTCCATGATTTTCCATGCCCGTACATTGTTCCAGCTGCGAACGCCAGTCTTGCATAGATCTCGTCTTATCGTAGTACCTTTCATAGATCGCGCAGGCCGTGTTACATCGCGCTACATGTCATCTACGGCTGCCCCGTTCGAAGAAGAGAGGGAGGAGGGTTTCGCAAAATTCTACCCGATGACCTTAGGTGAAGTCATACATGAAAAGTATAAGGTCGTGGCAAAACTCGGCTTCGGATCTACAAGTACTATATGGTGCTGTCGTAACCTGGCGTAAGTGAACATTATGGTTGTGAGTCAGGTGGAGCGTACATTGACTAGCTAGCCCAGGACGAATACATATACCGCACTGAAGATCTATGCCCACGACTTGATCGCAGAAGATGATATTCATAATGAGACTGCTATCTACAAACACCTCAGTACCGCGGGGAACCCCGATCATCCTGGCAAGAAGTACGTCCGAACTATTCAGGATTCCTTCTTTATCACAAGCAGAATGGGGAATATCCATCAATGCTTGACTCATGAGGTTCTTTCCAACGATATATTGAACCTCCGACATATTCACCCAGATCGTAAGATGCCCGAGGCATTGCTGAGGTCGATATTGTTACATTTGCTGCTCGCGCTAGATTTTCTGCATAGCGAGTGCCATGTCATTCACACAGGTCGGTTGACACCTTTGCTATGCGTTAGAGCGTACTAATAGTTTGTTAGATATCAAAGAAGAGAACATTTTACTAGGTCTGGTCGATTCATCTATTCTGGACCAACTGGACACCCAAGAAATTGCGACATCGAGCCTTTATCAAACTGTCAATGGATATAATATATATAGAAGCGTAAGGTTTGGTATTCCAACCACGTTTGGCCGCCCGATCCTGTGCGATTTTTCTCTCGCTCGGCACGGACAGGTTAAGCACTGTCATGACATCCAGCCAGATCCCTACAGGGCGCCGGAGGTTATCCTAGAGATACCCTGGGGCTACGCTGTGGATATATGGAATGTCGGAGTTATGGTGCGAGGCCATCTACATTAGCTACAATCATGAAACTAATAAGAGCCTCTAGGTCTGGGATATGTTTGAAAATAGACATATGTTCAACGGGCATGATCCCAAGACTGGAAAGTATGAGAATCGCTTCCACCTTGCTAGTATAGTTGGTCTTCTAGGCCCTCCTCCCCTAGAATTTCTTCAGCGGAGCGAGTATAGCTCTGTATACTTCGATGATAGAGGTAAGTATTCAATTCTAAGGAATTGCGTCGGCCAATCTAATATATACGATAGGTAATTGGAAGTGTGTTAATCCCGTCTCACCTATATCGTGGGATGATATTCAGAGGAATCCCGATATTACTAATAAAAAAGGCTTTATTGACTTCATCCGTAAAATGCTCCAGTGGAAGCCAGAATCGAGAGCGTCAGCCTCTGAGCTACTAGAAGACCGATGGCTACTTGGAATGTAAAAAGTAGATACGTATCTTACTTCTATAACTTAATTAGATACTAGTAGATTATTATCTATAGATCTATATCTTCTCTAGTCTATATAGAAAAGAACTATAAGTTCTCTTTAAATATATAACTTCTTATTAGTTCTCTTATATAGTATTATATAGTAGAATAGGTCTATATAATACTTATAATGAATTCTTTAATAGCTATATTTAATAACTAATATCTATAGAAGTCTATAAATATAAAGAAAAGCTAAATAGTTAAATATTAGTAATAGAAAGTATATATATTAAAATAAGTAAGGAAACGTCCTTCTTAAGTATTAAGGATAGAGTTATTATATCTTAGTTAAGTATTCATTAATTGCTAGCTACTTCATAGAATCTACGGCTATATATATAGGATCTTTAGTCCGTGGTTCTTACCGTTATCTATAAGAATAGGGTTATTAGATAGTAGTATAGTTAGATAGAACAATGGGGTGTATTCTATTATAGAACGAATTACTACTAAACCCTTTTAGTAGGAATCCGAGAGTATATATATAAAGGGACGCCGATCTATCTAGTACGTAACTATTTACTACCCTTTACGTTACCTTCTAACTCTATTAGCTAAGATATATATAGATTAGGTCCTATCTAAGGCTAAGTTCTAATAATTATCCCTTCTCTCTAGGAAGCTACCCTTAGCGACCTAGATTATTATCTATCTCTATATCCCTATTCTAAGTCTCGTAAGACCTTAGTCGTTCTCTATGCTTTATCTTAGATACTTACTAATATTTACTAATCTAAGATTTATATAAGCGTTTTCCTAATAAACTAGATTTTATCCATCTTAACTTCTTATATAGGTAAGATTACCTAATTAGGCCTAGCGTATTATGTAATATAATTAGATAAGCCTAGGTACTACCTATATTAAAATCTTTTCTTAGAAATATTCCTTTCTTTAAAAAACTTCTTAACTCTTTATAGAGTTTTTTAGATTATTAGATATATCACCCGATCCTTATAGATATAGATTTATATAGATTTACTATAATTTAGTACGATTTATATAATTTACTAATTTTCGTGCCGTCCTTAGCTAGTAATAATATAATTTATAATAATCCGTATAAATTAATAATAATTATAATATAGTTTCCCGAAATCTTAATGCTCTAAAGTAATTAGCGCGGAAATAGGCGCCTTTAAATAATCCCTATCTTATATACGTTACCGATATATCGAAAGCTATTAATCTACCCTAACCTAGGCCGGGCTCTAATAATCTAGCTATATATTATTATAGTTATCGCTTTCTATCGTATATTACTTACGGTAGTACTAAATCTATAATATACGGTACTTATATAACTAAGAAGCGTTATTACTTATAGATATTTAAGTAAGTTCGAAGAACTTTACGTAGATTTACTTATATTAGTATAGATTACTACTAGGCCTCTAGTAACCCCTACTAATAAGGAGTATAGTACTACTAATCGTAACGCCTTAGAGAAGGCTTTCTACGAGCTATATACCTAAGGTAAGGGTTACGCCTAGGAGTACGATTCTAATAAGATCCGTAAGGATTTATTAGAATCTACTATAGCTATTATTACCGTAATTACTAGGTAATATCGTTTTTCTTAAATTATTATAGATTCTTACTAATATATATTAATCTCTATAATAGTGCTAAAATCTCTACTACTTCGGACTTCTTTCTATATACTAGTAATATTAGAATTCCTAGAAAAGGTTCTAGTAAAAAGGCTAAGGTTTCTTCCTCGCGCGTGCTAAAGAGCTATAAATTTAGGGAAGATAGCTCTAATCTAGAAGTTTCTATACTAAAGGTATATAGTTCTATACCGATCGTTAAATCTTTTTACTAATTTATATAATTCTTAGCGTGCCCGCGCTAGTCCGTCCCTCTCTATCCCAGGTCCCGCCGCTCCGTAGGTTTCTATAGAGGAGTTTATAGCTATAAGGCGCGCTATATAGAATTTATAGCGTCGGAATAAAAGGCTAGAGACTTATATTATAAAGCTCTATACTATACTAAATAAGAACTAGCGGAAGGAATTAGACGTAACTATCGCGGTAATTAGTACTTCTACTCCTACTCCGACTTAATCGGTTTAGATCTATACTAATTAGTACTAATATATCTCTTTTATCTAGCGTTTTTGGTTTTTCGGTTTTAATTTTAAAGCGATCTTACTTCTTCTAGATAGATTAGTACAAGTTTATATAGATCTATATAGATCTTTATATTTTCTTTTAGCTTTCTTAATTTTATCTTTCTTTAATAATAACTTCTTTAATCTCTTTAGTAATCTATACTAATCTATACCGATCGGCACCGATTTTCGATGTCTATTTCTCTTAGTAAATCATTTTTCTAAGTCTCTTTTTTAGTTAAATTTTTTAAAGTTCTAAGTTTAAACTTTCTAAGGAAGTTTCTTAATTCCTTAGAATGTTTTAAAGATCTATATCTCTTTTACCTTCTTCCTTTTAGGCGGCCGTCCTTAGCACTAAACTATACTAAAAAATATCGAATTACCGTACTTTAGTATAATTCTCTACGATTCCGCGGCTTCCTTTACTAATTACTACTTATATACTAATATCGCTACTTTACTAATGTTTATTATAGGTTCCTAAGTATCTTCGTTAGGATTATATTCTTTCTAATAAATTTTATATAGCCACGTACCATCTTTAGCGCGTTACTAGCTAAGTATCTACTTAACTTTATAGATATCTATATCTTCTTACGTAACTACTTTATATAGTATCTATTTAGAATAATCTGGTAATAATAAGGTATGAAATGGCTCGAGAAGCGTAATATGGAATATATTATATATCTTTAATATAGAAGGGAGTTATAACTCGTACGCCTAGTTATTAATTATATAAGTAATCTTATATAGACCTATTATTATATAGTTAAGCTTCTTCTTTGGCCTAATACTATAAATATTCTTACTATTTAGTAAAACTTTATCCCTAACATTAAAGATCATAGGTTTTCTACCCTTATTATAGTACGATTTACTATAATTCATAGTATCTTATAGTAACTTTATAATACTTCTTTACGTTTAGAATAGTTCTATAGTAATTTCTATTACTTTAATATTAGGTCGTTCTACTTTAAACTAAGTCCCTAAGAACTATATATTATGGTTCTAACCGAAGTTTACTTCGAACGGACTTACGTAGGTTAACGTATATCGGCTATTATTATACGCGAATTCCGCGATATAGACTAACCTTAGCTAGTTATCCTACTTATAGTTATAATATACGCGTAAATACACCTCGACTATCTAATTCTACCGCTCCGTCTATCTATCTATTTATAGGTAGAACGTAGTACTAAGTTTCCGCTTAATTCCTAGCGTATAGTAGAAATCCTTCTAAAATTTAGACATTATCTACGGACCTCTATCCGAAACTATACTATTTAGTATACCGTAGAGCCGGACTATATTATAGAGTAGTATATCTATAAGATCCGGTGCTTGGATCGTCTTCCTTATAGGGATATAGTATAATATCTTTATAAATCTATCTAGAACTATAAGTAAACTATTATAAATATACCTAGAATACTTACTTAGGGGTAGATCTATGATAAAATCCATCGATAATTCCTTCCATGCCTCCTTTAGCATAGATAATAGCCTTAATTCGCTATATGGTAAGTGTCTATATACTTTCGTATACTGGCAAACGTTATACGTTTTTATATAGTCTTTTATATATTTATAAAGACCCGGCTAGTCGTACGTCCTTCGGATTAAATCGACCGTCCTTATAACGCTAAAGTACCCTACTAACACGTAATCGTACTATTCCCTTAAAATATCGATTTATAAGCCGCCTTCCGGTATATAGAGTTGGCCTTAGAAGTAGATCGCGTCTAATTATCGTTCCTACCTTAATAACCACGGTAGATCTATAGCGCTTCCTTTTATACTTATAACTTTCTTTACTAATATATTAGAATTCTAGGTAGATTTAATTAAGTCTTTAAGGGTTTTCTTAGTTTCTTAGACGTTTATTTAGATTACTTAATACCCGCTCTAATTCCCGCGGAGAATCGCCGAAAGTGTCCTAGCTTCTAGTATTCTATTAGATAACTAGTCTTATAGTATCTAAAGTATAGTATAGTCTAAATTACACCAACTATCTACATCATTCTATAACAATTTCTTATAATCTTTATACCGCGATAGAGGATTAGCTTTATTCTCTCTTCTAGCTTTATATAAGATTTTAAAGTTAAATATTAATATCTACTTAGCCTAACGTACTTATCGGCGATTAAGGACCTTAGTTAATATAAAGTAACATAGATTTACATAATCCAATAATAATTCAATCTAATATACAGAGCCTTCTAAATAATATCACTATTACTTAAAACTCTTAATAATTATAAGTAGTTCCTAGTCATGCGTGTTATAACGCGTCTCTATATCCGCTATTTTACGGGAAAAGAAAGCGACCGGGTGCTATTACACCTTGTCTTTCGTATCTTTATACGGTTAACTAATAATTCTAGTAATTACGAATTCTAATATGTTAGTTTTAACCTAAATATACTTCTTAGGATTAAAATACCTAAGAATCGGCGTAGTTATAAAGTAATTCTTTAATAATTAGAACGTATCTTACGCTTCTAGCGTTAACTATATCTTAACTAACTTAGCTTTACGCTATGCTCGCCTACCTATAGAGATTTTACTACTATTCTCTATAAGTTTATTAAGCGGCGCTATAATTCGTAAGAAGTCTATAATGAATTTATAATAATAGTTTACGAAACCTATAAATGTTCTAATTTAACGTATAGTAGTAGGTTCTAGCTATTCTATAATGGTCTTTACACGCTCCGGCTCTATTTTTAGGCCGCTATATATAATAATAAAGCCGAGAAACCGAACTTCTTATTAGTGAAACTTGTATTTAGATAATTTTACGTAGAGTTTATACTACCTTAGACAATTTAGCACCGATTTCATATGTTCTTTATAATCCTATATACTATTAGAGTAAATTAGTATATTATTAAGATAAACTACGTAAATCACGTTAAGTAATCCTACGAGTATAGTATTAATATATCCTTAGAACGCTCCTAGCGCATTTATTAGCCCGAATGGTATAATAGTATACTTAAAATAACTATATCTAGTCCGAAATGTGGTTTTCTACTCATCTCCGCGACGAATTTAAAGCTAGTAATATATATCTTATAAATCTAGCTTCGTAAAGTACTTTACCTTTATTAATTAGTCTAAAGATTTACTAACTAGCGGTAATAGATAACGATTCTTCTTAGTTACCGTATTTAGTATCTAATAGTCGACGTATAGACGTAAACTTCCGTCTTTCTTCTTTACAAAGAGAATAGATGCGCTAGCTAATAATATACTACGACGTATCTAGCCTCTTCTAAGGTATTCTTCGATATATTTATAAAGAACTTCGAGTTCTAGTCTCGAAAGTAGGTAAAGTAGACTATAAGGGACGTCTACTCCCTCTTTAAGCTTAATCTTTAGCTTATACGGCCCGTAATTAGGGAGAAGTAACGTATCTTCTACCGAAAACATATCCGTATACTACGAATATATATCGGGTAGCGTGTCTTTGCCCTAATTATTACTATCGTCCTTATCTTTATTAATGATTAATAAGGATATAAGATAGATTAGCGATAATTAGGTCCGTACGGCGAGGTTCTATGCCTTCTTACTAATAGTTACGACTTACTAGTATAATTTACTATAGTATCGTCGGAACGTTAATATCTCCTTCTAAAAATTAAGGATAGGGTTTAGGCGTCTAAGCTAAGGCATCCCTAGAATTATATTCTATTAGCTAATATTAGCCACGATGAATTTATTAGACATCTACTATTTTATTATCTTCGAGTTATGAACTTTGTAATTCGTTATAGCTTTACCTAAAGTTCTAACTTTATATCTATTAACTATAATAGTTTGGCTAACTTTACTAAGATTATATAATAATCTATACTCCTTTACGAGAATCGATAAAATATAGTTATCTTCTATACTAGTATCCACGAGGGCCTATATAGTTTTATTACTATTTACTATAGGTAATAATACTTTTAGTAATATTAGGTCTTTACTTACCGGAAGGCGCTACGGCTCCTCCTAAGTATATATAATTTAGCTAAGGACGCGGTTAGGTCTCGTGTACTAGTCTATTCTTTTTTTGGATTCTTATAGTTAGGCGAAATATATCCTATTTCTCTATACTTATAGTAACGAAGTGCGCTATAATCCTACTATTTTACGATAGGCGTTATATTTAAGCCTATATCTTATTCTTTTCCGCGTTAAGAAGCACCGCCTTAATTATTTCGGTGTCCTCTTAACGCGTTTCTACCCCGATTTACGCTCTTCTAGCGCTAATCGCGGTAAGGTTACTCTTAATCGAACGTATTCGATTGACCTCGTTTCTAACCTATATAGGGTTCGTTAGTTTTACCTAGAGAGCCGCGTTCCTTAAGGATGCGGTAGTATTTATTAGCTTTCTCCTCTAATTCGTGTAGATAGTTAAAACTTAATAATACTATTTCTAGTCTTTCGCGGATTAACGGAAGTAGCACTTCGCGAAACTAGAATATACGAATATTTTCCT